ACATTCCCAACATCAGTGCACAGGGTTTTAATTTCTCCACATCCTTGCCAACACTTGTTTTTTTGCTAGTAGCCATCCAAATGTGTGTGAAGTGGTGTCTCGTTATGGTTTTGATTTGCGTATCCCCAGTGTGATGTTGACCATCTTTTCATGTGCTTATTGACCATTTGTATGTCTGCTTTGGAAAAATGTCTATTCCAAGTCCATTGCTCATTTTTTAATTGTGTTGTAATTCTGGATATTAGCTTCTTATCATACATGTGATTTTCAAATAATTTCTCCATTCTTTGGGTTGCCTTTTTTTCTGTTGATAATGGTCTTTGATGCACAAAAGTTTTTAATTTTGAAGTCCAATTTTTTCTTTTATTGCTTGTGTCTTTGATGTCATATGCAAGAAATCATTGCCAAATCCAATATCATGAAGACTTGCCACTATGCTTTCTTCTAAGAGTTTTAATGTTTTAGCTCTTACATTTATGTCTTTGATCCATTTTAAGTTAATTTTTGTATTTGGTGTTAAGTAAGGGTCCAACTTCATTTAAGGTAAAATTTTACTAATTATTTAAAATTAGTTATGAAAAGCCTGAACTGTTTAGCTGAATAGGAAATTTTGCGCAGTGTGATTAACTCCATTTTTAAAAACTTATTATGGAAATTTTCAAACTAATATATAGGTAGATAAAATAATATAATGAATCCCCCATATACCCATACCCCCAGCATTAGAAATTATCAATATTCTCTAGTCTTGATTCATTTACACACACCTACATGTATCTTTTCCTGGGGAATTTTAAAGTAAATCACAGATATTATGGCATTTAATGCATAAATAGTTAAAATGTGCACTTTTTATAAGGCCAGTATCTCTCTCCTTCCCTCTGTTTTGTTCTTTATATTTAAACATAACATTATCACATTATAAGACCTTATAAAATTAACAAGAACTCCTTAATGTCCTCTAATATCCAGTTAATGATTGACTCATTCTACTCTAGCTAAAGTACAATTCAGGGGAAGATTTGAGGCCATTTTTTTGTCCGATTAAAATATAAACTTTTGATAATAGCTCTTTAACAGGTGTTAGGTGATATCTCCTTATGGTTTTAATTTGTATTCCTCTGATGATTAGTGATGTCGAACATTTTTTTTTTTCCTGTATCTCCTGGTCACTTGTATGTCTTCCTTTGGGAAATGTCTATTCGGTTCCTTTGTCCATTTTTTGATAAGGTTATTTGTTTTCTTACTGAGCTGAGTTTGAGTTCCTTGTATATTTTGGATATTAACCCCTTATCTGATGTATGTTTGCAAATATTTTCTCTTGTTAAGTAGGTAACTCTGTTGATTGTTTCTTTAGCTGTGCAGAAGCTTTAGTTTGATGCAATCCCATTTGTCTATTTGCACTTTTATTGCCTGTGTTTTGGGGGACATATCCGAATAAATCTTTGCCCAGACCAAAGTCATTGAGCTTCTCCCCTGTTTTCATCTAGTAATTATATGACTTCAGATCTTAAGTCATTAATCAATTTTGACTTGATTTTTATATTTATATATATATATATATATATATATATAATGAGTTGATGGTTTAATTTCATTCTTCTGCATGTGGATATCAAGTTGTTCCAACACCACTTATTGAAGAGCCTGTCCTTTCCCCATTCTGTGTTCTTGGCAGTGCTGTCAAAAATTGATTGACTGTAGATGAGGGGATTTACTTCTGGGCTCTCTATTCTCTTCCATTAGTCTATGTGTTTGTTTTTATGCCAGTAACATGCTGGGGTTTTTTGAGGTTTTTTAAAATTTTATTTTATTTTGTCAATATACAATGTGGTTGATTATTGTGGCCCATCACCGAAACCTCCCTCCTTCCTCCCTCTGCCCCCTCCCTACCAACAGTGTCCTTTCTGTTTACTTGTTGTATCAACTTCAAAGAATTGTAATTGTTATTATCAAAAAGACTAATTATAACAAGTCTTGGCAAGGCTGTGGAGAAAAGGGAACCCTCGCACACTGTTATTGGAAGTGTAAATTAGTATAGCCATTATGGAAAACAGTGTTAGGGCTCCTCAATGAATTAAAAATTGAACTACCGCATGATCCATCAATCCCACTTCTGGGTATATAACCAAAGGAAAAGAAATCAGTATTTCGAAGAGATATCTCCACTTCCATGTTCATTGAGACATTATTCACAATAGCCAAAATATGGAATCAACCTAAGTGTTCATCAGTGGATGAGTGGATAAAGAAAATATAGTATATACATGCAATAAAATACTATTCAGCCTTAAAAAAAGAAAGAAATCCTGTCATTGCAACAACATGGATGAACCTGGAGGATATTATGTTAAGTGAAGCAAGCCAGGCACAGAAAGACAACCACAGCATGATCTCACTTATGTGTGGAATCTAAAAGAGTTGAACTCGCGGAGGTAGAGAGTAGAATGGTGGTTACCAGGAACTGGGTGAAGGGGCAGTGGAGAGGTGTTAGTAAAAGAATAAAAAATTACAGTTAGATAAGAGTAATAAGTTTTAAGAGATCTATTGTACAACGTGGTGATTACAGTTAATAACAATGTGTTACAATCTCGAAAGTTGCTGAGAGTAGATTTTTGTGCTCCTACCGCAAGAAATAAGTATGTGAGGTAATGCATGTGTTACTTAGCTTGATTTAGTCATTCCGCAATGTATATGTACTTCAAAACATTGTACACAGTAAATAAAATATAAACACAGAAAAAAAATAAAAATAAAATATAAACTTTTGCAGTGGCTGCTTACGTAATTGAGCCCTCAAATTGCACATTTCTGTTGGTGAATTAAACATTAGTGCACATAGATTCTGCTCATTTTGCTTCTAATCAGTCATAGTTAAGACTGCTGTACTGGAAAGTCTTTCTGTAGGAGTATGTAAGAAACAGGTTATAATAGACATTGCCTCTAGAAAGCAGGCATGGATGGATGAGTGGGGTCTAGAATGAGGGAGACCATTTCTCTGTATATCATTTTGAACCTTCAAATCTATTGCTATTTTATATCTTTAAAAAAAACTAATCTTGGCTTCCAGTCAAGATGGCAGAATAGGCAGTCCCCAGCATCACTCTCTCCCACAAATCAACCAATTTCCAGCTGTTAAAAAACAACAACAGCCAAGCTGAGGCCTCTAGAGCTCAGAGGAAGAGGAAGAGAGACCTACAGAGTGCATGAAGGCAGGAGAAGCCACGAAGAGAGGAAGAAGGGACTGCTCCCACCATTTCAAGCCCTGGCTGCTTCAAGGTTGGAGCTGGTGAACGCACAGAGCAGGAGCTGGCAAAAGCCGCAGCTGTGCCCTTCAGATGAAGTTGCTTGGAGGCGGCAGGGGAGAAGAGGGTCTTGGTGGCCCCCAGGACAGCAAGGCTACTAATAAGGTTCCTGTGGACTGACATAGAGGCAAGGAGCCACAACAACTGAAAAAAGGAGCCACTCAGAGGCCAGTGAGTCATCACAAGGGATGGCGCACAGCCCATCCCATGGGAAGTGTTTGGAGCACAGGCAGTGGGGGAGACAGGCCCACCAGGAGAACAGTGGGGCACAGCGAGGACAGCTGATCTGCCCCCCAATCAGCGTAGGACCACAAAGTGGAGATGAGTCAGGAATACAGAACTGTAGGGGTGCAGTTTGCTGAAAAGACCCAGGCCCAGACCAGAGTTTCTACACAACCCAGGTGTGCCAGAATTCACAAAACCCAGAAGTACCTATGAAGTCAACCATTAAAACCTGAGCTGCACAAAAAGCCTTCCCCAGGGAATCAGCAGCTAAGCAGCAGTTTAGCTCGACCACAGAGCTCAAATACTGGTCCCCACAGGAAGTTCCCCCATTTTAAAAGTAAGCAAATGACAACAAATAAGTTCCAGTGCAGAGTTTAATTGGTGGGAACAGCAAATAATCTAACACAGAACAGAAAGAAAAAATAAAATACCCACAGACAAGACACAAAGTTTGATACTAACTAGTAAAGGTCTCACATCACCAAAGAACACCTATAAAACCTAGAAGACTGGAAGTCCCCTGGGCTACCAAGCCAGGGAGAGTGGAGGGCTGGGGTCCTCAGCCATGTCCCCCAACACCCTCAACCAGTCCCAAGAGTGGGGAGCTGAGGGCCTCAGCCACGCTTCCCCCACACACACAACCAGCCCAGCAACAACCACCGAGCCGGGGCAGTGGGGTGCCTCGGGCCAGGGCCATGACCCCCCAGCACCCACAACCAGCCCAGCAATGACCACCGAGCCACTGTAGGAAGCACCCTGGGCTCTCCCAAGCTGGGGCGTTGGGGGCCAAGGGCCTTAGCTATGCCCCCCAATACTCGCAACCAGCCCAGCAGTGACCACTGAGCCACCGCAAGACGTGCCCCAGGCTCCCAAGCTGGGGTGGTTGGGGGTGAGGGCTTCAGCCACACCCCTCTGACATCTGTACCCAGCCCAGTAATGACCAAGCCACCACTGGAAGCCCCCTGGTCTCTCCTGCAGGAATGAGGAGTTGTCACAGGCCTCAACCCTGCCCCTCCTCCTTCTTCCTCCCACCCTATTTCCTTCCGATTTCCCCTCTCGCCCTCCCCCCAACTGCTCTGCAACATCATAGAATGTAAAAATAATAATAATGATATTAATAAATAAATAAACTTCAAAATATAAATAATAAAAATACCTAATCTTGACTGCGGCAGTAGGCACATGAATCTACACACATACATGGAAATGAATGCATGTAATAAAACTGGTGATATCTGAATAAATAAGGTTCATGGATTATATCAATGTCAGTTTCTTAATTTTGACATTGTATGATAATTATGCAAGACATTGCCATTGGGAGAAAGTGAATAAAAGGTATATGAGATCTTTCTATATTATTTCTTACAACTGCAACATAAAAACTTTTTTAAAATAAGTTATAATAAGAAAAAGGAACCTTGTGTCAAATCTAAAAAATAAAGTTTAAATATTGATTTTATTTTTTAGGAATCTGGTGGACAGTAACAAACTTTGGTGAAATTTCAGGAACCATAGCCATTGAAATGGATAAAGGAACCTATATACATGCACTTGACAATGGTCTTTTTACACTGGGAGCTCCACATAAAGAAGGTTTGTATCTGGTAGAAACAATGGAAGGGAAAAGGCTACTTAAAGTGTATCTTTTATGACATTCATTTACTTAGGCCAGATTCTAACTAGTCTCAAGCATATTCCAGAGGAATGCAGCTATTGCATTTAGCACTTCCATTATTTTCCTTCCTCAGTATTAACCAACTATTGGCAGTATTATACCAACTTCCTCAGTATTATACCAACTCTTGCTGGTATAAGCATTGGAAACATTCTATATAGTTCCAGAAGAGTATCTGTGGTAATCAATAACAACATAAATAATTGAAATAGTAAGTGGAAAGGAAAAAGAAAACCTAGTTGAGTCAGAGGTCTGAATTTGCTTCTCCTTCAGACCTTTGCCAAAACTAATCTGGGTCTGCTTAACACTCTCACTCTCTTTAGCCCATCAGAGTAAGCATTAATGAGGTGTGAAGTTTTTAGAAGGTAAAAAGCAGTATCATTTGGTCGGAATGGCCAACCATTGAGTAAATGAAAGCATTTAGTTTTCATTTGTTTTTGTTTTTTTTTGTTTATGTACTGTATCTTAAAACACAAGGAGAAAATATTTTGGAATTGACTAAATAAGCATCATGCCAATCTGTTTTATTAAGTATATAGAACTAGCACTGTAGTTATAAGAAGATAAAATAGATTTTGATACTATGGATACTGTATTGTTATAATTATGTCATATTTATTCTTGACATTTCATTTTAAAATTAAAAAGCTACATTTTTAAAGCAAAAGAATATCTTTACATGTATATTTATAGCAAATGCCAAATTTATTTTTAAATGTTTTTTCTCCTGTAGTTGATGAGGGCCCTAGTCCTCCAGAGCAGTTTACTGCTGTCAAATTGTCTGATTCCAGGTAAGCTTGAGTTGAACTATAATTAGTAACCTTTTATTTTTTTAATATAATTTTGTTCATTAAAAAATTCCAATATCTAGTTAACTTAAGCCCACAGGGTAATTTTGATTTAAAAACAAAATGATTTTTTGAAAAGTAGATTTTGTGACATTTCAAAAATATGTTATTTATCTAACCAGTAAATATTTAGGTATTATTAAATTAGATTTGTAATAATTGTGGTTTTAGAAGAGAAGTAAAGCTCCAGATATAAAGTATACACTATGATTTTTATCACTGTACAATACAAGGCTGCAAATAATGTGTAAGTTAAAAAAAATGAAGATTAATAATGTCATAAGCCAAATAAAATGGTAAGAAAAAACTTGGTTCAGTGTTCCAGTGATACGGAAATTCACAGGTCAAAAGTCAAAGACAAACAAGAGGATAAAGGAACAGAATATTGTTAAAACCAGCAGAGAATGTTGCATAGTCATAAAGACCAAAAGAATATTTTGCTTACTAATTTTACAATCGTTTTGTAAGTTGACCTTTTTTATTCTCACAGTGCAGAAGTACAGATAACACTTTGAGTAGCAGATATAGAAATTGAATTTCAGAATACTAGTAATTGCCTACATCAACATGATAATTTGTATATTATCATTAATCTGTAAATGAGTATAAAGTCAGTTCTACCATCACTGGAGATCAATAAGGTAAAAAATAGAAATCATAATTTTTTTTTTTTAAAATCACATCAAGTAGAGTCTTTAGGTTTTTCATGTCATCTGCAAATAGGGACAATTTGACATACTCTTTTCCAATTTGGATGACCTTTATTTCTTTCTCTTGCCTGAGCTCTTTGACTAGTACTTCCAATACTGTGTTAAATAGGAGTGGTGAGAGAGGGCATGCTTGTCTTTTTCCTGTTCTTCAGGATAATATTGGCAGTGGGTTTGTCATATGTGGCTTTTATAGTGTTGAGATACTTTCCTTCTATACCTAATTTGTTGAGAATCTTTATCAGGAAGGGATGTTGAATTTTGTCAAATGCTTTCTCTGCATCTAATGAGATGATCATATAGGTTTTGTCCTTGATGTTGTTGATGTGGTGTATCATATTTATTGACTTGCATATGTTGACTTGCATCCCTGGGATGAATCCCACTTTATCATGGTGCATAATCTTTTTTGATGTGCTGCTGTATTCTGTTTGCTAATGTATTTTTGATATTTATGTCTGTGTTTATCAAGGATATTGGCCTGTAGTTTTCTTTTTTTGTTGTATTTTTGTCTAGTTTGGTATCAGGGTGATGCTGGCCTCATAGAATGTGTTTGGGAGGGTGGCTTCTATTTCAATTTTTTGGAATAGTTTGAAAAGAATTGTATTTAATTCCTCTTCAAAGATTTGGTAGAATTTAGCAGCGAAGCTATTCGGTCCCGGGCTTTTCTTTGTTGGGAGACTACGGATTACTGCTTCAGTCTCATTGCTTGTTATTGATCTGTTCAGGTTTTCTGTTTCTTCTTGGTTCAGTCTCAGTAGTTTGTATGTGTCCAGAAATTCATCCAGGTTTTCGTCTAGGTTTTCAGATTTGTTGGTGTATAGTTACTTATAATAGTCTTTAATGATTCTTTGTATTTCTGTGGTATCAGTTGTAATGTCTCCTTTTTCATTTCTGATTTTTGTTATTTGGATCTTCTGTCTTCTTTTTTTAGTTAGCCTAGCTAATGATTTGTCTGTTTTGTTTATCTTCTCAGAAAAACAACATTTCATTTGGTTGATCTTTTGTATCTTTTTTTGGCCTCTATGTCACTTAATCCTGCTCTTACATTAATTATTTCTTTCCATCTACTAATTTTGGGATTAGATTATTCTTGTTTTTCTAGTTCTTTGAGGTGTAACATTAGGGTGTTTATTTGAAGTCTCTCTGTTCTTTTCATGTAAGCATTTATTGCAATAAACTTATCTCTTAGTACTGCTTTTGCCTATCCCACAGGTTTTATATGATATGTATGCATTTTCATTAGTTTCAAGAAATTTTTTTATTTCCTGTTTAATTTTTTCTTTGACACATAGGTCATTGAGGAACATGTTGTTTAATTTCTATGAATTTGTATAGTTACTGAAGTTTCACTAGTTAAGTGATTTCTGGTTTTAATCCATTCTGGTCTGAAAAGATACTTGAAATGATTGCAATGATTTTAAATTTGTTGAGACTTGATTTGTGACCTAACATGTGGTCTGTTCTGGAGAATGTTCCATTTGCTGATAAGAAGTAAGTATATTCTGTAGTTGTCAGATGAAATGTTCTATAGATATCTGACAAATGCCATTGGTCTAAAGTGTACCTTAAGTCCTGTGTTTCTCTGTTGATTTGTTGCTTATGTGATCTGTCCAGTGTTGAGAGAGGGGTGTTGAGGTCCCCACCTGTAATTATATTGGGGGTCTGTCTCTCTCTTTAGGTCTGATAGTGTTTGCTTTGTATATATAGATGCTCTGGTGTTGGGTGTGTATATATTTCTGATTGTTATGTGTTCTTACTGGATAGATCTCTTTGTCATTATATAATGACCTTTTTTATTGTTTTTGATTTAAGAGCATTATTTCTATCAATCATTTGAAAGTCTGTTAAGTATGGTGAAGAACTTTTAAAGAATAAAAGCAGAGGAAGAAAAAAATTAATAGACACAAACTTTTTTAAAGTTATGAACAGAAAGAAACCATTTTAAACAAATGAAATAGGCAAATGAGGAAAATGTTGCATCAACCATAACAGAAAATGAGTTGTTCTTCTTATGTGTATATGGAATTTATAATATTAATGACCCCAATAGAAAAATGGGCCCCATCACAAAAATGGACAAGGAACATAACCAAATAACTTAAAAACTAAAAAGAAAAAGAGAAGGAATACAAATGTCTCTCTAATAATTAAAATGCAGATTATATAGGATACTGTTTTTTCCATATCAGATTTTCCAGTATAAAAAAAAAAAAAGAGGCATAATGCTAAAAAAACAAAAAAAAAAAGTCTACAGTAAAACAGTTACTCTCCTAGTTAGAGATGAGAGTGTTAAGTTGGTAAGCTTTTTCTGGAAAGCAGTTCAACAGCATGTAATTGGAGCTTCAAAGCTGATACCCTTCAATTTAGTAATTTCCCTTCTAGGAATCTCTTCTAAGAATACATCAGCAATTTTATGTACAGAAAAGATATCAGCAGGACTATTTATAATAGAAAAAATAAATCTTAATGTATCTATAATAGAACATTATATATTTATTAAAAGTAGTATATTTGAAGAATAATGTACTTGGAAAATGTTCGCTTTTTAGTATGTAATATAAGATACTATATAATGCTTATATTATCAAGCAGAATATAAAATTGTGTGTGTGTGTATGTATACATAACTGCACTGTTTAATATGGCAGCAGTTAGCCACAGGTGGCTTTTAAACACTTGTAATACATCTAGTCTGATTTATATACATACATATATATATACACACATGCATGTTCTCACACATAGTTTTATGTTTCACATTTAATTTTCTTTCTCTTGGTTTTTAATATTTATCTATTTTTTTAATCTGAAGAATTGCCTTGAAATCTGGCTATGGAAAATATCTTGGTATAAATTCAGATGGACTTGTCGTCGGGCGCTCGGATGCAATTGGACCAAGGGAACAGTGGGAACCAGTTTTTCAAGATGTAAGTGCTATTATTGTTTATAAAAGCTTCCTGCTGGCGTAAGAGAACACTAACAGTGAGAGCGTGTTTTCTTAAAACACAAAAGAAAAAAGTAGGGTGTAATAATGTATATTAAATTTCAGAAAAAAAATGAAATAACCTTAAAAAGATCTCAAAAGATAATGCAACAAGAATTGCAGTAGTACTTTTGCCCACCATCATTTCTGTATACCCTTGGTACCTAGCTGTGGGTCTCTCTTATTTTTTATTAAAGAACCAGGACTCTGTAGATAATCGTTAATTTTAACTCTTGGGATAGTCAAACTGGATAGTTCAGCACTATCTTCTTCTTAGCAGAAATCATGGATGCTTTCAAAAACGTTAGGGACTGTAGTAAGAGGACAGTAGAGCAAGCTAAGAGGATGGCCACTGACCAAGTTGTAACAATTTGTGCATAAAATAATAAATAATAGTGATTATGGTTCATTGAAATAAATTTAGTGTATAAACCTCTTTGAGATTATAATGAAGCTCAAACAGGAAAACAAATAGTATACAAAAAGACAGTTTTAATACAAAAGAAGGATTACTATATTAATTTTTATTAATGCGAGTAAGTAGTCAGTTTGCAATATATGAATATTTTAAGTCTGTGTTTGTTGATATGGAATACATAATTCCTCTTTCTATTTATGCAAGCAGTAAAGATTGAACCCCAAAATATGCGAGAGCTAAATAGTCTCCAAAAAGTAGATGCTATTTCAAGAACAGTAAGGACCAGTGGACAGCAACTAGAGCAACCAAGTAAAAGAGAAGTTCAGTAGTTGAGAAGCACCATACAGGCTTAGCATCCCTAATCTGAAAATCCAAAATTCAAAATCCTACAAAATCCGAAACTTTTTGAGTACTGATGTGATGCTCAAAGAAAATGCTTAAACTCATTTCCTCATCCCCTAGGATAAAAATTCCTGAGTCAAGTGATTTTCAGACTATTTTGATCCCAACCCCGAAGAAGTACATTTTACATTGCAGCCCAATACACACATATATAACTAAAGCAAGAGTTTTATTTAACAGTACGTATTTATCTATTTGTTATACACTCTGATATTTTCTGTTCTACTTTACCTCTTTTCTTATGTCTATTTTTTTTTTTTCAGTACTAGCCAGGAACCCCTAGATTGATTTCATGCTTACTAATGGGTTACAACCCCTTCTAGATGATCATACTAATTTATAATGAGATACTTATAATAAAAATTATACCAACAGAATAGGTCAGTATATCATATGGCCAGATGTATTAGATATTACCAGCGGTATAGAACTTTAAGAAAGTTTATTTCATTTTATTTTTAGGAGAGACACTAAGTTTTAAAGCTTTAATGAATGAGAGACTTTATTGTAACAAGTAAAACTGTATCGGAAAAAGGGATTCAGCTGAATGATCAACAGCACAGATTTAAATCACCTTCAACCATACAGCCATATCCCAGTGCTCACCAAGAGTCACCAAGGGATAGACAACCCAGTCCCTGCCACAAATGAGAAATCATATGTGGGAGCTAAGAGAGAAAGAAGGAAGGAAAGAAAGACCACAGTGCTGCGTTGAACTTGCAGAGGGAGAGAACATACCCAGGAATACAAAGTGGAGTGGGGGAAAGGCAGATGGGGAGGGGGGTCGGGGATAGTTGGGTGGGGGACACGGGTTATAATCACAACTTGTGGTAAGAGGCATGCTGCCAGTATCAATCTAGCCATCACATCTTGGGCACGAGTGGTGACAATCAGCTTTGTACTCCATGAATATTCATAACAAAAAAAAATGCATATAAAACAAAGAAATCAAATCAGATTCGTGATATTAGCACTTTTCTAACTGGATATGAGATAAGATTATTAATAAATTTTGTAGTTATTTTATTTGTGAATATTTTGTCTGATGTTTAAGGTATTCCAAGTTTTCCAAAAGAATCAACCAAATACAAATTGTAATTAAATCTTAAATTTGTTAAGGGAATTTAATTAATCAAATTTATAATCCAGGTTTATGTAGACAAGAAAATGTTTCCAAAGTTTCGTTGAATAGAAATCAGTGTAATATATCAAGTATTAAACAATTAAAAAGAGTATGAATGTTTTGTTCCACACACAAAAGTCCCTCAGACGTGATTATTAAATTCACAGACAACAAAGGCTAGCTTTTGTACAATATCTTTTTATATTTTCTAATTATGGAGTTAAACTGAACTAAATATCCCCATTAGATCTTTTAGGCCACAGGAAACAATTCTAGCCTATTTCATCTGGTTAGTACTTAGTCCTACTAGAAGAATATACTAAAAATGTTTATTGTGGTAATCTTTGAGTAGTAAGATTATAGGAGATTTTGGGGTTTTTTCCTGGGTTTTTTTTTGGGGGGGGGGTATTTTTCAGGTTTTCTCCAAATTATTTTTCCTGATTTTAGAACCAGGGAGAAAAAGTTAATTTACTCTATTTCTTCTGCAGGTATTCTCATAGCTCTATTTTTTCTTGGTATTTTGTTTTATTTAGGGGAAAATGGCTTTATTGGCCTCAAATAGCTGCTTTATTAGATGCAATGAAGCAGGTGATATAGAAGCAAAAAGTAAAACAGCAGGAGAAGAAGAAATGATAAAGGTAATCATGACATTATTCTGTAGACTAATAAATGTTATATACGTGATGTGACTCCCTTTCTTTAAAATATTGAATTGTCATTTACTGTCATTTTAAAGACTTAATTAGTAGGTTTTTATAATTTGATGATCCAAATAGGCTTTATTTTTCATTGTAAATTCCATAATTGATGGGTTGTTTGCACAATGTAGTAGAGAAATTACTGTATCTACAAGCTACCTTGCTATTATCTCCATGTATTAGTGTCATTTCCTGAGTAGTTCCATGTGCTTTTTAAGCATGTTTTCTTTTTTTCTTACCCGCATTTTAAAATTTAATTTTTTCAATAGATAATGTATTCACATTCAAAATTTTTTAAATAAAAGATTGTAGAGACATACACCTCCCAGTGTTTACCTGTCTCCCATTTATCTTGTTCCTGTCCCTCCTCCTTTATTTCTATATCGCTTCTGGAAGTTTCTTTGTAAGCATGTGAACACATTTGTAATTTTCCACTTTCTTAAACTCTCTTGGAGATTTTTCCCCTATCAGTATGTATGTAGAGAGTCTCTCTCTCTCCCTCTCTCTCTCTCCCTCTCTCCTCTCTCTCCCTCTCTCCCCCTCTCTCCCTCTCTCCCTCTCTCCCTCTCCCTCCCCCTCCCTCCTACGCAGTATTCCATTTTAGGGATGTACCTTAATTTTTTAATCATTCTCTTATAGATGGAAATTTAGGTTGTTTCCAGTCTTTTCCTCTTACAAACAATGCTGCAGCACATAACTTTGAATGTGTATCATTTTGTAGGTGTACATGTGTATCTGAAGAGAAATTCCCAGAAGCAGAATTAAAGGGCCAAGGGGTATAAGCATTTGTGACTTTGTTAGATACTGCCAAGTTGCCTTTCATAGAGGTTATACTAATTTACATTCCTTCCAACATGTAAGAAAAAAGTTACTAGATTGTTTTGTGTTTGTTTAATACTTGAGCATCCATGATGCTAGTCACTATATAAAACATAAAAGTCACAGCAGAACTTCTAGGACTTTACTCCTCAAGTTTTTTATCTTTTTATGAATAGATGCAAGTCTTTACATGAGGAGAAATATGAAGCACATAAAATACTTATTTTTAATTTCATACCAGTCACAAAGCTGGAAATAAAAGTTCCTTATTCCAGGCTAAATTCCCTAACCCTACTCTTTGTTTTACTTCATTGTAAAAGTTATACAGACATCTTCATATCAAGGTAAAATTCTAAAAAAAATAAAAATAAAAACTGCAAGATAACTTACATAAATTAGGTAGTTAACTGGAATTTGATGAACGCCTTTAAGGCTTAATTTTTTAGACTTACCAAGGTCATTTGATCATCAGTAACAAACACCCACATGTTTCTAAAGAATAATGACCACCTTCTTGTCGCATTGTTTTCTTGGCATTCTATTTCAGTACTGAGCATTCTGAATCTTGCCTAATTTGTCTCTGCTAGGAATCACATGCTGCAGCTAGTCTGTTCCAAATTTGCTGTGTGCAGCACATTAGGGAGAGCCAGAGTGGAAAGCTATAAGAGGTGGGGGAAATGCCTTTTCTAAAATGGCCTTCATCCTTATAAATAAAGCATAAAAATCTATATTCACTTTTCTCTATTACCAGCATAATTTAAAAGCATCTATCAAATATATCTGTACATGCTTTGTGTTAGATTCCCATCATATATTTGATTTTATTTTTAAAATATTCTTGATTTTCAGAATATTTTTATAGCCTTTTAGTATTCCTTGAAAAATATTGCTGATCTTTTTAAATGAGAATGATAATACCACTAACTCTTTATTTCATCATCTGGAGTTGGTTCATGGAGAAAGAAATACCATTCTAGAAGACAGCATAGGAATTAAAATTTTTAGTATATTTTCCGTAGTTTCTCAAAAGGCCTTTGTACTGCTAGTAGTCTCAAATAATTTCAGTCTAGATATTCTTGTCTTGTATTTTGAAAAGTGAAATTTTAGACATAATGTTTTTTAACTATATAAACATAAAACTAAACCAAGTAGCTGCATTCACTTTGCTGAATTCAGCACATGCATTGTCATCTTTAATATTCATAATGCCCCTGTAAGTTAGCTATTAGTGTGTTAACTTTACAGACAAGGAAGCAGCCTTTGACCCTCACATCCTCACCTGTTTTGATCAGTCACTTCACGAGAGTCACACAGCTAGATATGGTAAAGACAGGATGTGTACCTAGGCCCACCTGACTCCAAAAGCTGCTCCTATAGTCCATACCACACTGCTTCTCAGGAAACAGATCATAAGGAAAATGCTGATGGATTCCTGACTGACTTATATTTAATTTTATTTATTTATGTTTAAATTTATTGTATCATGTTTAAATTATTTTTCACTTGGATTTCACTATAAAAGTGTGTTATTGAAGACAAAAAATGCAGATACTCATACAGGCTCAATACTTTGCACTTCCACAGAGAAATACACTCTGTTATGTTTATCATTAATTACAGCAGTACTCATCAAATTTCTCTGGATCTCTTTGGATAGTCAAGTACCTGGAAGCTATGAGCAGTGATTATCCAGGACTCTTTCCCCTTGATATTTACCTTGTAGGCTCTGCTAGTCTGTGTCAGTCATCTACCTTTATGCCCTGGCCTTAGCTACCAAAACAGAGATCCCTCCTATCAGAAGTAGTGCTGTGTCACAAGCCCTAGCCAGGAATGTTCCCAGGTCTTCTAGGACCCTCTAACCAAAACTGTCACACACATATCATTAGCACAAACACGTTATTAGTCATAACTTTCTAAGCAATCTTAGAATTGGACTCTGGGTCACAGAGATCACTTTGGAGAAATGGTTCCTTTGGGTTGCAAATTGCTAGTTCCACAGGGAATCCTAATTGCTGTGTCTGGGTGTGTAATAGTAAATATCTGTCAGAATTTACGAGGATATAAGGAAGATTTAAAAGGGGTGGATTCTAATTAAGTAAAAATAAATTTTATTATGTTAAAAGTTTTAATATATTTGGTAATAGTTTATGCAAAATAAAATAGTTACTATCTCAAGCTCTCAATCTGATAAAATGAACACTATCTACCAGGGATAATTTGATTCTAGTGTATTTGCTTTGAGGCCAAAATTAAATTAGTGACATTATTGCTTAATTGCTCACCAGGATCTGATCTGAAAAATATTTTTCAAATACTTTTCTCTTTAGTGTTTCTAACACAAGGTTCTTTTTCTAAATCTAATTGCTAGGTTGTTTTCCTCTTTTGCATAAGAAATCACCTAGGATGTTCTTGTATAATAAGTAGGGAAGGGGGAAGATAAATGTATAACCTGTTGAGTTCTCATCTTCGATATCCAGATTAGGTCCTGTGCTGAGAGAGAAATCAAGAAAAAAGATGACATCCCAGAAGAAGACAAAGGAAATGTAAAACAGTGTGAAATCAATTATGTGTATGTATTCTCCTTTTATACCTACAGATTTGACATGAAGTGCTTCTCAAGGCATTTTTAAAATAAAATATGTGGAGGACAAGAAGAGGCAGGCAGTATAATGCAGACTCTAGGACAAAGCGCTGAGTTGAATCCTTTTCTCAAGACTTCAGTTTTCCTAATTGTCCTGCTGGCTCTCAAAGCTAAAGTCACTTGGGTTAGTCAGTTCTCCCTGTTCATTAATAGAATTGCTATAATACCAACAAAGTGCTATTTCATGGCCAGGACACGGGGAACTCCAGCCAGCATTCCCTGGTAGAAGTGGGGCTTTGTAGCGCCGTTCATACAGTGGCCCTCTTGATGTTGGGTAGCAGAGGTCACCTTTGTAGTGGAAAACCCATAGGTTATTAAAGAAATACAATTAGATTTTTTAAATAGGTGAAAAAAACCTTTCACAGTAAGTTCATCAGTAAACATGTACAATCAAAGTTTGAGATATTTTTCAATGAAGACATTTTCTTTACAGAAAGAAATTTCAGAGCTTCCAAGACCATAAACTTAAAATAAGTAAAGAAGACAGTAAAATTCTTAAAAAGGCTCAGAAAGATGGGTCTTTGCATGAGATGCTTTTGGACAGGTAATATAAATTTACTTATTTCCAACTATTTTCAGTAGGCAATAGAAGTGGTGTGTATAAAACCAATGTTCCTTTTAAATTGCTGTAGTTTTCAAATTTTTGTCTTTATTTCTAATTTGTAAATATGGTAATATTATCTAGAAAGAACATCATAAGTCTGCAAAATGTTGCCAAGAAAGAATATCTAAAAATTATATCTAGATTCTAAGTATTTATATACTTTATTATAAGAAATTCAGGTTTGGCTATAACTGCTTCATAAATTTATTTACATGTAACTATTAGACTGAGTTAAGAAGAGGTATTTTGACTAAAGTCAAAATTCTGTGGATTCTGTTAGAGTACTGCAGCTTCTTAAAAATGAGATAAAAATTGATCAGTTAAAAATAAGTAAGTATAAATGTTAAATAAGTGAAATTGAAGTAGTTTTTTTAAGTTAGATTCAGAAGCATGCATGATATTTATCATAGTACATTATTAATATTTATTTATTACTATTTTATTTAGATGAGTAACATCCTAGGTTTACAAAATAGAAAAATAGGTAGAGAGGTTTAGTGGTGAGCTTACAACTATAAATCAAGTTTAAGTGCCGGATTGAAAGAGAATTTGGTAATCTCCAGCTAGTCATTCAAGTCCTAGGTTGCAAAATTACTCTTAACCTTTCTTAACATTACTTGATATGCTTAATAGTATATTTCTTGTTAACTAGTTGGTAAAGTTCTACCTGAATTCAGTAATGATGTAAGAATTTTTTCCAGCCGAGCAAATTATTTTGTTTCTAGTTCTAAGAAATCATAAGAGGATATAAAATATAATCAGGATATGTACTCTAAAGTAGATTAAGCTCTGTATCCTTTAACTTTTATCACTTGTAAAAACACAGCATTGCCACCCTGTTTAATTAGAAATTTAGGGCACGCTTAAATTCAGAAGTAATTAAAATTGCTATTGTGGATTGAAAAAGCCCTTAGGCAATATTTGTTAAATATTAGGAAACAACTGTCATAAGATTAGAATCCATTTTGTATAGAAACAAAGTTGAAAAGTAAAATTTTAATGAAATAATGTGTTATATTATAATAAGATAAATTGAACACACAATTCCTAAGCATGAGTTTTATATTTAGTAGCAGTGGACATATAAAGCATGTTTTACATAGATTAATTTTTATTATTTGTCTTTTGTTTGAACAGGAGAGCCAAACTGAAAGCTGATAGATACTGCAAATAACCGGGATTTTTGTTTCTGTCTTATCTTTTTGTTTTTTTCTGAATAAAATATTCAGTGGAAGCGCTTTTACAGAATTCTTGGGCTGTTATGGAATTATTGCTCAACTAGTAGTTGTTGGTTTAATTTCTTAGTTTTTAAGATTAATCAAGTTTAATCTTGATTAGTAAAGAATGTACTTTTTAGTCAACTGTAGTGTTTCATGTAGAAATGAAATTTAGAGTACACACTTCAAGTACCAGAGTTTTTTCTTCTCTGGATTTCCTGTCATAAAGCATGAAGTGCTGCTCTGATAAACTGATGTTTCCTGTGCTGCTTGTGGACTCTGTCTTATTGCTTTACAGACTGACTTTGCATGGTACAATAGATGCTTAATCAGTACCTTTAAAAGGAAATTAGAAAATTCATCAATCAACAAGCCTTTGATTCTACCTCTTAATACTGCCCAAATCACAGACGATTCAAACAAATAACAGAACAAGGGGGCTGGGCAGAGAAAGAAATCAACTGTTAGGCAGTGGACATTACAAAAGAGGGACGAAGCTCAGAACAGACCAAGAGAGGAATACTGGGGAATTTCCCTAATTAGGACAGTTTAGCCACAATGGATATGCACGTAATGCTTTCGTCCTCACTTGTGGGATGGGACGGGGGCTGTTAAAAAGGTTCAGACACTTAGTGTTGCCAAGGTCTGCTTTGCCAAGGCCTGTCTCTTTCTGAGTTCCTGAACACAGTGTTCCAGATGTCATCTAATTCCAGGGAGTGTTCCAAATTCAGGTTGCATATCAGGTGCCTGGATTCCACCACAGGATTGACATTGGCTCAGGCATCTGTGTGTTTTTAAAATTCCACATTGAATCCCATGCACAACTAGGACTGAGAACTTGCCTAACCTGCCAGACCCTATCTAGTTCTAGCTTTTATATTCCATCTGTCACCACATCTAGAGTTACTTGGCCCCTCTACAAGCAGGGTAGCTAAGCTATGAGTACCAGCCTTGTAAATGGCTCTTGCCATAGGTCTCGCCCCAACTAGGCACTTCAGTTCCAATAGCCAGTGTTCTCCTGTCTTGTGTTCTTCTTCTTCTGACCCCTGGATTGGGAACATCCTTACTACTATGACCCCCAAAGCAGTGGTTTTGGAAAGTCTGGTTTTCCGCCAGAAGCTATCTTGCCTCCCAGGGGGATGTTTCACAATGTCTGGAGATATTTTTGGTTGTCATATCTGGCACTCAGTGCTACTGGCATCCAGTAGGTAGAGGCTGGGGATGCTGCTAACAATTCTATCATGCCCAGGACAGCCCCCCACAACGAAGGGTTGTCCAGCCCCAAATGCCAAGATTGTGAAACCTCCGCAAGGACTTGGTCTATTTCTTGCTTTTGCTAGCTCCCAACCCCTAAAAATAATAACAAATTTATACACATAAGAATTGCCTAGAGGACCTGTAGATTTCCAATACAGATTTCCAAGATCTACCCTAGAGATGCAGGCTTAACAAGTCTAGAGCTGGCCCCGAGAATTTGCATTTTAACAGTATTCCAGATAATTCTGAAGCAAGTGATGTGAACCACACTGTGGTGAACACTGCCTTCAAGAGATTAGAGTCTTGCTTTCAAACACTAGCTTGGTACTTGAGACCATCTGCCTGCTGACTGATTTCTCTGGAATGAACATTCTATCTGCCTACATTTTTTTTCTTTTTTTCTTTTTTCTTTTTTTTTTTTTGCCAGCTGTCTGGTACAGGGACCCAAATCCGTGACCTTGTGTTACCAGCACCACACACTCCTAAGGGAGCTAACCAGTCGGCCTCTGTCTGCCTGCATTTCTGAACAGATGTATGTTCCTGAATTCCTTGTCAATCTCGCTCACCCTCCTATTCCTGCAGTTCCTGCCCCATTCCAGTGAGCAGAAGTAATTACAGATCCTGACAAGAAGGTGCAGATTAAAAACAGGCATTGCCTGCCCTCATGGAGTTTATTCACCCGTGAAGGAAGACAACAAACGCAGATGACAGATGCTGCTTCCCTGTGTTTCTCATCGCACTGTATACACCCCACGTCACAGCGCTCAGGTCAGTGTGGGAGAGTGGCAGAGGTTAAGAATGAATGCATCTAAATACTGTCGTCTGGTCCACATTTTTCCATCTTGTACACAAGGATATCATGAGAAATTTTGTTTAAAACGCTACTAAGATACATTCTGGCCAAACATTCCCCAGATTTACCAGTCTAGTAATCTTATCAAAAATAAGATTATATAACATAAAAGCTCTAATCAAAGAAAAAGCTCACCACACCCCTTCCTATGTTGACACCTCACATTTTTCAGATTAGACCATTTTATCACCTCCAAATTGCTATTAAACATCTGGTCATTCACTCCTAGAATTTCCATTTGGTTCTTTTTTTATTGTTACAGTTTATTTTTCTCTTCTGCAATTTCCTATCTATTTATTACATTTTTTTTTTTTTTTTTTTTTGGTATTGGGCAGAGTTATAAGAGCTACTTTAAAAATTCATGTCCACTAATTCCAACATTTGGGTCATATTGGGGTTGTTCTCCATTAATTGCCTTTCTTTTGAGTATGTTTCTTCATATGTCTGATATACAGTCCCCAACTTAAAATGGTTCGACTTTACAATGGTACAAAAGCAGTACGCATTCAGTAGAAACTGTACATTTGAGCACCCACACAACCGTTCTGTTTTTCACTTTCAGTACAGTGTTCAATAAATTACATGAGATATTCAACATTTTATTGTACGATAGGCTTTGTGTTAGATGATTTTGTCCAACTATAGGCTAATGTAAGTGTTCTGAGCACATTTAAGGTAGGTTAGGCTAAGCTATGATGTTCAGTAGGTTAGGCGTATCAAGTGCTTTTTTTTTCTTTTTATCTTTTTTACTGACCGGTAACGGGATCGCAACCCTCGGTGTCGCGCCCGTACCAGGGACCGGCAACGGGATCGCAACCCTCAGTGTTGCGCCCGCACCGCGCTCAGCCAGTGAGCAGGAACTGGTCTCCACATGGGATCCGAACCCTCGGCGGGAGCGCCGCTGCACTCTCAAGCAGCACACTCTCCAGTGCGCCACCGGGCCGGCCCTCAAGTGCATTTTTAACTTTGGATATTTTCAACTTATAATGGGTTTATCAGGATATAATCACATTGTAAATCTAGTAGCATCTGTAATTGGATTGTATCCTTGAACACTGTAGAAACTGGATTTTGTTTTCTTCTGAAGAAGAATTTTGATTTTTTCTTTGTTTAGTAAACAGTTAATTTGGTTGATCTCAAGCTCCAAATTCTGTCTCCTCTCAGTGGGCAATGGTGAAATCTCTCTTCAGTTCTTGTTTTATCTGGGCTGCCTGAAGCGAGCCCCATACATGTGGAGTTCAAGGATCAGTATGAGAATTGGGCATTGTGGTTCCCCTCTGTGGCTCTCTCCTTTTCAGGATTTCCTCCCCACTTCCCATTCATTGGTCACTCTGAAGTCTGTCTTCTGAATCCTCAACTCGTAAAGACTTCAGGCTTTTATATGAGTTTTCATGGCCCTTAGTGGCACTGACTGGGACCTGCCCTACAATGTTAAAAAGAAGTTAAAAATACAGTTTCCTTCTTAACAGAGTTAACTCCTCTCTAGTTTCTGTCTGCTTTTGGTCACTCTCCACTACCTTCAGATAATTTTTTTAAATATTTTGTCTAATGTTTAATTTTTTGTGTGTAAGAGGGTTAGTCTAGTACATGCTACTCCACCTGCTCAAACTCTGACAGTTCCTTGTCCTCTCCTCCCCAGATGGAGTACCTGGGCTTTCCTAGATAACAGCTTCATAACTCTTAACATCCTACCTCAAGTAAATAAGAAAATCATTAAAATAAATACATTCATACATCCTAAAAATAGGCCTGAATTCCTAAAATGGACTCGTTAAACCAGATGACCCAGTACCACCCAAACAGCATGGAGTTCCTGAGTCAGCCCTCACGTAGACTATCATCAGTCCGTGGCTTATCTTTAACTCACTGCTGCAGGAATTTTATTTACAAGGTTATCCTAAACTCTAATGACAACAAAAAACATACTAAAATATGCTAGCTTAATACCATGTTTTATAAACCAAATTATTATGACATGGTAGTTTTCATATTGGGTTGAAAGACGTGGAAAATGGCTTTCTCTTCATGGTACTGTTCTTTTGCGGTATGTCACAATCAAAGATAATCACTTGAGCTGCTTAATGCAGGAAAGCTCCATTGTAATTGTTTTTTTTTTTTTATGGTGCTGCCATTTATTGAGACCAAGAATACAGAAGCAAGGGCACATTTATTTGCCTCCGAAGATATGTTTCCACTGCACTAGGTAGACTTTCTCTCTTATAAAGGAGGCCTGCAGATGGAAAACTGAAAAATGTGACAAGCCTCTCCAGAGTGCACCGCTTCCTGATATGATTCATCTCTTGATGAGGTTAAAACCTCTTAGAGAGTACAATACTGTGTTAATCTAATCTAATAGCCACACAAGCAACTGAGTAAAAATGGACTTTTACTGGTGGAAGGAACACAAGTCATGGAAAAGAGCCCTAGATTCACTGCTGATGGGAGAGCAATCATGCTTTTGTTATCAAGGCACTGAAGACTTACAAACTGGTAACTTTCAGATAAACAGTGGAACTAAGCTTTTTTCCCCAAATAAATTAATAAAATTCAATATTGTTTCACTCGCTATGTTCATTAATAGCGGTGGAGCTTAATCCTCCCTTGCTACTTCTGTTAGTACAGTGAATTTCCATGGAAGTATTTTCAGAGAGCTCAGGCCTCCTCCTAAAGGAAAATAAGGATCAGTTCTTGCAACAACCCAGGGAAATGAACTGCTCCAGCTGGTTCAAGGGAATGCCTGGAGAGACAGACAGAAACTGGAAGAAGATAAAGCTTTCACTTAAAAACCTACTCTGATGTTTGTGGTAGGTGTTTGGCAAGTCTTTGAGGAAATTAATCTAAGGAGAATGGACCAACTTTGGGTATTTCTCCAAGACCTCCGATCTTTAGAAAGGGATGACGGATGCAGTCGTCTACAAAAAGTTCTAATTGTAGGGCCGGCCCGGTGGCGCACTGCTATAGTGCGCCGCTTGGGAGTGTGGTGGCGCTCCCGCCGAGGGTTCGGATCCCACATACAGACCGGTTCCTGCTCACTGGCTGAGCGAGGCGCGGGAGCAACGCCGAGGGTTGCGATCCCGTTGCCGGTCCTGGTCCGGTACGGGGGTGACACTGAGGGTTGCGATCCGTTGCCGGACACGGAAAAAGACAAAAAGAAAA